CGGCAGATCTAGATCTAAGGGAATATTAAAAATATTTCCTTCGACTTCGATCAGGGAAACTTGTATTATCAAGCATACGAGACACTGTGGCAGATCACAAAAAAACTATTTTATTGGCCAAGTTTTTGTCGATCTTATTCTTGATTGGGTTTGACGATTAAAAAAAGAGAATTGTTATTCGCACCCCTCCCGTGACTAAGACAAAGACAATAAAATCATCACATTTAAAGCCATTCATTGGTCACATTAATACACTTAGTCACGGGTGGGGTGCGAATAACAACTCCCTAAAAAAATTAAAAATTTCAACTTTTGATAGTCAAACACAACTTAAAGCCAGCTTGGGATTATGGGTAGGAAAACACAATATTTGAATTAAAATTAATTATTTCATTTAGGGAAAGCAATAAAAACTATTTATTTATTATCTTTTGTTTATTTGTTGTTTTATTAATATCAAATAATAATAATAACTAGCAATTGCATCTATGGGTGACTAACATCGCCCAATTATTACTATATACCATATTAATGTTAAGTTATTTATTTACTACATCAGAAAAAAAAAAAATTTTTTTTTGAATGTGTATATAATAATAATGATTTTATAAAAAAAAAAAAAGATAAAGACAAATGTTCATTTTATTATTATGAATTGTTGTTAATAGGCAATGATTTGGCAGCAATTTCTTTCAGCCAAGCATACTCCCTAACCATCAATTGATCAACCATGAATGCCTCCCTTGGAAAGAGAGTTAATTCTGAGATCTTCCAATTTGACACAATGGCTGAGAGCAACATAGGCCTGTCCAGGAGCAAATATCTATTGGTCAAGGCAGACAGATATACTTGGCAAGGTTAACCCTTGTGTCTTGTGGACTGTTAGACCAAAAGCATTCTGTATAGGGAATTGAGTTCTGCTTGCAGGGTTCCCATTAAGCTCAAAATTAATCTTCTGCTTGGAGAGGATAGCATCAACAATTGCAGAATGAACAGAAAAAGTAACCCGAATTTGTTCATTATCAATATCAACATACATCTGTTGTTTTTAATAAACATAAAAAAAAACAAAAGGTTAAGATGGCAGACTTATTTATTTATTTCTTGTGACAAAACAATTAATCTTCATTTTTTTTTATTTTTAATAAAAAAAAACAATTGATCTTTATTTTCGTTATCATTGAACAATCAACCTTTCTTTTGTTATCATTAAATAAACAACCAATCTTTATTGTTTATTGTTATTAAAAAAAAACGAATCAGCTAATTCTTTTTTTATATTTTTCGCGATTAGACAAATTTTTACCTTTGATCAAAAACCATTCACGAATTTCAATTGTTGATGGTAATGTTGTACGTGAAAATGAAATTATCTGAATTCGCAATTCACATATGTGAAATTCAAATTAGCCAATCAGAATTTCACCAAAATCATGTATTTCAATTTCACATAATTTCAATTTCACATACAACAGTAACAAAGACAATTTTTTAAGATGATTGGTTCTGTGTAAATAGGAGATAAGAGGTTTTCTCAAATCTTAGATTGATTGGTTTTTTTCCTTCCCCACTACACATTATTTAGCATAGTAGAAATCTCTGAAATTAAAAGAAATTTCATTTTATCTAAAAAAAGAAGATGGAAGTTCTTTCTTGATATTTGCAAAAGGTAAAGTCATGGTTCTCATAACAATAGTGCTAATTGAAATTCCAAGGAGGCTTCGACTGTTTTTAAAAAAAAATTTCTTCTGATATTTTCTAAAAATAATTTAATTTTTCATATTTTCTAAAAATAATTTATTTCATATAACGTGCTTTTTCTACGTAAACCGGTTTTCGTAAATATCAAAATAATTTTCGAAAAGAAATTACAACCCGCACTATTTTTTTTTATTATATTAATTAATAATTAACAACAATCCGGGGGAAAAAATTATCACCATATTACTTTATTAATCATTAATAAGCAAAAAAGAACAAAAACAATTGCCAACAACAATCAATGAACATGGTTAAAATTTATAAACGAATGTATCATTATTTTATTTTCAAAAAAGGGAAAGTTTTTGATGATTGATCATTTTGACGAATTGTGTCAACACAAAAAAAAAATTGTTCACCACAATGTTTTATATTCCAAAAATTCAGTTTACAAAAAGTTCAGAAACAAACCTTTGCAATATGCAGTTTGCAAAATTCAAAAATTGCAATCTGTAAATAATAAAATAGCAAATTGCAAATTGCATATTGCATAGTTTATAAAACGGACTGTAGAAAATTTCCTTTTTTGAAAAACTATAGGTTAGCGCATTTGACAAAAACAAATAAGATTTCCAAGACTAATAAATAGTTGTCAAGATTTTTGAAATATTCAGACAAAAAATGTTCTATTCCAAAATTAGAATTTTTTTCATGCCTTAATAATTGTGTCAATTAAGGATAAACATATTTCTTTGTTATATTAATGGTTAATGATAAATTGTAATATATTTTATTTTTGCTTATACAAATAATAGGGTATACAACTTTGCATTTGGTATTCAATTAAAAAAAAGAGAACAATCTGGAGAAGTTGCTATGCAAACATCAATCAGAATATTGTCAGAAAAAATGCAACAATGAAAAAACATATTATGTATGGTGTTAGTTAATTAAGGGGTTGTGATTAAACAATGTTACGCGACTGTCCTTAATGTTTACTTTGATCATTCCTATACAAACTATTGAATAATTGATAAAACATTCGTTAGCATGTTTTGTTCATAAATCTTGTCCTTAACATTTACTTTGATCACTCCTATACAAACTATTGAAAATGTTTGTTATTAAAGAAACAAAAGAGGTTAGACCAAAGATAAATTTTGGAATATAACCAAAGGGTTTGTGCAAAATCTGCTCCAACTTCAAAGTTTATCTCAGACCAACAAGTGCAGTATCAATACTGCTTTCTGGGAAAAGGATTATATTTACAGAATAGTGACTATGGCAGAAGTGTGGTATTTTTTGAAATATAGCAATAGGGGAATTTTTTGCACAAGGATCTGCTTAAGGTTGAAAACTTAATTGAGATTTTAAAAATTCCCATTTTTTGTTTTCAAATATATAGTAAGAATTATTTTCTTTTTAATGATCTTTATTTTAATTAATGATGTATTTACTCACACATATATATTATATATTATTTTTAGAAATGAAATTATATGTATATATTTATAAACAAATTACAACCATATCAAATGAAAATATGTTAATTGGTGTTGGTGAATTTTATGAAGTTGTAACAATCCCATTATATTTATCTGAACCAAAGGAGAAAATTGATAAAATCTTGGAAAATTTTATTAACACAATGTTAAAATCTAGGAACATAGTTTTAGATGCTATTAATCATTAATCATTAACAATACAACAATGATGATATATAAAAAATATTCTTAAAATAATACTTATCTTTTTAATATCAAAATATATTTTTGGTTATATTATAAAGTGACAATAATAATAATAAATTTTTTACTTATCTTATTCAATCTATTTTAATAATTTTCATGTTTAATTTTCCAGGTGTTATAGTTCCTCTTAAATTCTTTCCTCTGTTTCCACTGTTTCTTCTGTTTCTTCCATTTCATCACCATTATGAAGATGTCTAACTTGCTGCAAAATTAATAATAACTCATCTTTTTTTTTGATGATAAATTCTTAAAATATGGTCTATTAACCTCATTCGAAGATCCAACCAATGTTTGAATTATGTTTAATAGTTCTTTCTTTGTCATTGATTGTTCAGTTGAATATTTTTCTTCTTCATTAAAAGTTACAGGAATAGGATGAAAAGTTCCTGATGACTTCTTTGAGCTTAGCTTATTAATAATGTAATCTTTACAATGAGCTTGTGTTGTGACAGTAAATGATTTCATTTTTTCACTTAATTTGCTTCTCAAAGACTGGTTCAAGTTTAGATGGATTTAAGTAACCTTTTTTCCTCAATTCTACACGAAAACATTGGGATTCTTTTTCAAAAATTGGTTTCGAATGAGGGCCTGTGCTTTCTTGATCTGAATATCCAATAATACCAAGCAATTTTTTTCGCAGCTACTAAAAAAAAATCATTACTAATAAATTATATTATACAAAGATTGATTAATTTGCAACATTGCTTACCTTCATGAATTTGACACAGTTTCTTGCTGCAATTTCCCAATGTTTTTGAGTTGGGTCAGGTGGAATAAGTGTTTTTAATGTTTTGTTTACTTCTTCAATTATAGCATCCAATCCTTGGTGTTGGTTTATCCACCCTGATCTTGATACAACTGAATTTTTTTCAATTAGTTGACGAATTTCAGGGTGGAGGCACAACAATTGTTCTTCATCAGTTGATTCAATTAACTGATAAATGGTATGCCTTCTTGCAGACCAAATTGGAGAAAAAATTCTATGAGCAGCAGCTTTAAGCAGAGGTTGGTTTGTTCTGATGCTAATACGGAAATTAATTAATAATGTTACTAATTGTTGATAACCATTCACTAGTTAGTTAGTCCTATAACTTACTGGATAAATGACGCTACCAATCGTTGGCAATACTTGCTAGTTACCAACCCGATGTTAATCTTAACTTTTGCTTACTAACTAAAGCAAATAAAACATGACTTTCTATGAAAGTTCTAATATTGTTACCTTTTTATCAAAGCACTAACTATTTTTTACCAAAAATAAAATAAGATAAAAACAATGATTTTATGATTTTTACGGAAATTTATTTATTAGAATTAGAATGTCAAGCGAGGACTCGAAGTTGTTCAAAATTTTATGAATTTCTGCATTTTTATTAGTCAACCGACTGAGAAATTTATCGGCTTGTATCGCATTTTTTTTTATCTTCTAAACAATAATATAGTTATTATTATCCAAATATTTTAAAACTGCTTACGGAAATAGTATATTCTCTTTTCTAGAAAGTTTTAGCAGAATATTGTCAAAATAGATTTATATAACGCTTATTTTTCGAACAAGGTGGTATCAAATTTTTTTTATATAATTTTTTTTTTATTTGTAATTTAAAAATAAAATATCTTTATAATTTACGGGTCACTAATAAAAAAAAATATATAACATATATATCATCGATCCTTTGTTATTTTGTACACCTCCAATTCCTCTACCAAATGTGCAAATTTATCTTTATTTTTAAGCTTCAAGTTAATTTTATAATTTTCCCAACAATAATAATAACAATAAGGTTCATTATTAACACTATTATGTAGATTCAAATCAAAAAAATTTATTGTTATTTCCTTAAAGTTTTTATTATTAAAAGGATCATTAACAATTACTCTACTATGATAAATTGCTCTTTCAGGTTTATTGACCTTACTTAGTATTGAATCTTTCATTTCATTTTCATCAATCTTAAATATAAAACTTTTATCAGTTTCAATAGGATAATCCTCATCCGAGGACCTTTTTTTTATATTCCAACAAACTGGATTATATCCACCAACAAATTCGCCAGTTTCTTTAAGTTTCATAATAGCTACAGTTTGTTGAATATCATTGCATTTTTCATCAAAAACTGCCCTAGAAAATCCATCACTAGTCCCCTGAAGAATTAATTCGAAATTATAAAGAGCATTATTGTCATTATTGTTTTTATCATCAATCCAATTAGAAATTAAACGTTTCATATTTAAGTTTAATAATTTTCCTTTTGTTCGTGGACCTTTTCGCAGGAGATGCTTTGGTTGCCATGTATCCTGATTAAGATAATATTGAAGAAGTTCTTTATATAATTCTTCATTAAAAACATCTTTATAACACATAATTTTTTGATGAAAATCATTTGAAGTAATTATATCAAATCTTATTAATGGAATAACATCATCCAATGTATCTTTTAACTTTTTAAAATCATCCTTATTCCATTCTGAAATATTTTTTCTCGAGATTTCTTCATTCTGCCCTGTTCCCCATTGAATGACATAATCCCAAACATCAATTTCTTCCAAATTTAATTCATCTCTTTCCAATATAGAGATGAGCATAGGTTTTTCAATTAGTGAAATATCATTAGATTTTAAGAATATTTCTGGTTCATCTGAAGTTACTCTGTTAAAATAATCTTGAAGTAAACCGAATGATAGATGATGTTTTGATGAGATTTTTTGAACATAAACTAAATTTTGTTGAACCCATTCTTTTTTCTTGGAGATTAGCCAATTTTGTAAATCATTGATTAATTCGTCAAAATCCAATTCGTCACATGCTTCAAGAAGTTCAAGAATTTCATCAGGATCCAAGTTATCTATATTAATTATGCCATTATACATGTATCTTTTTAAATAATACAATGTTAATATTTTGATAAAAAACAATCAATTAAATTAAATTATCTTACATTAAAAGAACTTCAAACACTTTTGGAGAAATATTTTCTTTTTCGAATAAAATAACACCATCCTTAGATCTTTTAATCCAATTACTTGATAAAGCCGCTTTAAAGTAAGATGACCTTGCTTTTAAAATTATAGAATGAGCTTTAAAAGTTTTAATTTGATCCTGGCCTACTCCGACTCGGATTTCTACATCATAAGAACTAGAATCATATTTTAACAATTCTGTTAAATCATTAACAAGTTTGCCGATATTTTTTAATGGTAAAGCATCATTGTTGTAATTAACAAGTTTTTTGAATAATATGTTTATATTTTCCAAAGATGAAAAAATAGACATTTTGTAAATTTAATTTTTTTAACAATTATAACCAAAAATAAAAAATTTTTTTATTGATCAAAGGATATATATATATGTTTGTATATGTATATATTAATTTATTGTACTTGATCACATGTCTACACTTATTAGTAAAAAATCTGCATAATTCATGTAGGCTCATTTATGTGATATAAATTTATGATACAATAGGGCGATCTGTAACATATAGTAAATTTTCTTATCGAAACCAAACTTATTGAATCAATTTCTAATGCCAGTTTAAAATTCACACTGTTTTTTTTAAATGTTAAAATATCACTTCTAAACATCTAATGCATTTAATCATTCTGTTTGTGCTCTTATAATTAAATAACTATATCAATAATAATAAAATTACTCATTTCACATTAGATACATACAGTAATATAACTAATTTCAGCATTAAAATAGATCCTTAATTATTTACCTTTTGTTTATATATAATTACTAATTCAATTATTAATAAATTTCATTCATAAAACTGTTACTTCATCAAATCGTACAACCAAGAACGTCTGCATGTATCACGTTAAATTTTCCTGTCCTTTTTTCCATCTAGGCAAAGCCCGTGTCTGTATCGTTCTGCAGTTTTGAAATTCATCATGTTTGAAGAAATGTTATCAAAAAAATTTTTTATGAACCAAAATCTATTTAAAATGAGAGTTATCTATAAAATCCCAAATGATCTAATTATTGCAAATAATATATCTGCTCATCCTGTTTTGTTTGTGTTGTTTATAATTAAATAGCTATATCATTGAATGATAGAGGAATACTCATTTCACGTTAGAAAATATATATATAATAAATTTCAGCATTAAAATAAATTTATTAATTTACCTTTAAATATTAACAATTAATATAAATAAAAACTCCGATTGTTAATGATAAAATAGTAATAGTAAATGAAAATACAATTTTGTCACGCAAAATTCGAAATATCACATTTTTATTATCCCCGTATCAGTCAAACGATATGTCACAGGAAGTGTAATTACATATAAAATAGAAAATCCGACTCGTGTAACAAATCAGTTTTTTAAAATATCTCATTATTTTTATAACAAATACAAAC